AAAAAATAGCCAGGCGCCTGTAGTGCCACCTACTCAGGAGGCTGAGGCAAAAGAATCGCCTAAGCCCAAGAGCTAGAGGTTGCTGTGAGCTGTGATGCCATGGCACTCTACCAAGGGCAACACAGTAAGACTCTGTCTCAAAAAAAAAAAAAAAAAGAAAACACAGAGTTACGATTTTTTAAATTGTTAGTAATTTATAATTAAGCATTCTGAACACCTCATCTCTCAGTTGAGCTCTGCCTATGGGAATGAACAGGAAATGGCATTTTCAGAGCGATCAGTATAAACTAATGCTCAATTTGAACTTGTAAACCCATGGGGGCAAAACCAGCTTGAGTTAATTCCAGTATATATATTGTTCATGTTCATAAAAGAAGTTGTCATATAATGGTGGGGGCACCTGAACATGTGCTTTCATTCCCTCCCCCAAAAATCTAGCTGTGACTATCCAGGTGACTTCCTACTGCCCCCACAACATGCGTATTAAAACGGGGTAGGCAAAATGTGACCTGAGGGTCACATTCATTCCAATGCCTATTTTTTATGACCCAGAGCTAAGAAAAGTTTTTATGTTCTGTTCTATCTCTAATTAAGTAAAAAGTTATTCTCCACAAAAAGATTTCTGTTCTTCTCATTAAGTAGACATGTATTTTGAAAATTGTACTCAGTTATTATTAGCGTTTTGAATATAGTTAACAAGGTTGTGGAAGTGTTTTGCTATTTAAGTACCTGCATAACATTATGCCTCTTGGCCTATAAAGCCTAAAATATTTACTTCTGATGCTTTAGCTAGAACGTTTGTTAATCCTGGCCTTAACCCCCCAAGTGAGCCAGCCTGTAACTTAGCTGGGCTTGCTGTCAGCCAAGTGCTTACCTTAATAAATCAGGCCTGACAATGGGCCAGGCCCTGTGCTAAAGCCCCTTACATATCTGTTGTCTTGCTTAATTGTCACAATTAAGCAATTAATCATTTAAAGGTAAATATTCCTATTATTCCCATTTTTCAGAGAATAGAAGTACTTCAGAGAGATTAAGGCCTTTGTCTAAAGTCACACAGCCTTTAAATGTCAGTTAGTTTCAAAGCCCATGCCCAAGCTTTGGCAAAGCAAATTCTAATGTATACTGCTCATGCTGTCGGAGATGTACATAAACGTGGAAATGGAAGGCCAAGGTAAGGTAAACAGACCCAAAGTCAAAAATATAAGGCGTATACAGAGGCTTGTATGGGATTCCTTACACCTTTATGGCACTAGTAACCCAGTTTTAAAAAGTCAGACACAATGCACAAACACTAGTGGAAGTACATGGCAAATCCTTGGCAGTTTAGAAAAATAATGACAACGATAATAAAAGTAACAATAATTAGAATAATATCTATCATTTATGAGATGTATAGTATGTTCCAAGGTCTTTCTGAACACCTTTCTTGTATTGATTTATTTAATCTTCACCAGCAGCCTATGAAGGGTTAATAACCTACCCAGGCTCACGCTGCTTAGAGCTGGTAAAGTTGAGATTTGAACCTAGGCAGGCGGAGACTCTGGTTCTACTCACCAGCCCTGTAGGCACAAAGAAGGGTTTGGGGTGCTGATGAGGACAGTAATGAGATTTCAGTTTTCAGCTCAGTGATGTTTCCTGCTTTTAAGGCATACTATTACAAATCCTTAGTGATTTCCTTAAAGAAAGAATCCTATCTGGCTCGGTGCCCATAGCACAGTGGTTATAGTGCCAGCCACATACACCAAGGCTGGTGGCTGGCGGGTTCAAACCCGGCCTAGATCAGCTAAAACAACAATGGTAACTGCAACACAAAATAGGTTGTGGTGGGTGCCTGTAAGTCCCAGCTACTTGGGAGGCTGAGGCAAGAGAATCATTTGAGCCTAAGAGTTGGAGGTTGCTGTGAGTTGTGACACCACAGCACTCTACCGAGGGCAACATAGTGAGACTCTGTCTCAAAAAAAAAAAAGAATCCTACCTAACTCTTGGTATACTCATCATGTTTTTGACCTTGGATCTGTTTACTTCATCTTGGTCTTTCATTTTCTCACCCATTAAATTAAAGAATTGGCCTAACTTGGTGGTTTTCAAAGTCCTCCTAGGTCCTCAACTCAGCTTTACCCACCGTGGCTGCACTTAAGGCTTACTTGAGATCCTGGGTAGGATTTTGTTTGAGAAAATGTTTCTTTGGCTCCCAAAGCTGACAGGCTGGGGCTAAGGCCCTTCCAGATTGCAGAGTTCTAAGATCCAGTGACAAGGATAGAGATGGAATGAAGAAACAGTAAAGCCAGGTCCCCCTCCCTTGCCATCCCCACTGTCTACCCTCCCCACCCATCTGACTGTGCTCTCTCACCAAGGAGAGCCAGAACTCACCTCTGAAGCCCTTGTGTGTGCACCTGGGGTCACACTGCAGGTTCTCCCAGGGTCTGCCAGATCACGAATGCATTTGAGAACTAAAGAGTCTTGGTCCTGTGGAATCAGTGTCCCCCTTTGACACCCAGTGTCCTGCTGGTGGGCCAGGTGTCTCTGCGCTATTTTTAATGCCCTTTAAAGTGTGGACTCTTTTAGAGTGGATGCTTTCCATGGGGGCTTGCAGGGATTATCTTGTCACTTCCTGTTGTCACACAGGCAGTAACAGTGACTCTAATACTGGGTCAGGCCTCTGGGGAAAACCCTTCAGATTTTCTGGTCAGCCAGTCCCTGGAGCCCTTGATCCCAAGGCAGAGTGGTGTGTTGCCCTGGGGTGCCGAGTTCACCCACAACGTGAGGGAGACGTGAAGGTGGCAGTTTTGCAGTTGGTGAGGCCAAGCCCTGCACACATCCCGTCATGCTTGGAGCTTTTGTTGACTATTGACACAGCCCAGGGAGTTTAGAGGCAGCAAACAAAAGCCAAAATATTTTCTCGTCCTGGCCAAACTACTTCCAGCCAAGCACACTTGCAGAGATTTCCCCTGTCATTAGGCTGCTGGTGACCAGGTTTAAATGAAAGCCCAGACGTGCCAGTGGGCAGAAGGGTGATTCCATTATTTGCAGCCTTTTATGCAATAGAAACTGTTTTCATGATTTTGATTATAGAGCCCTGTGATTTGAAGACTTTTGCATTGATCAGTTAATATGAAATTTTTCCTTTTAACAAAAGGAATTGAAAGCCTCTGTGGGAATCAGCCAAGGATTATGAGTCTCACAAATACCTACTTTACTCCACTGTTCTCTAGTGAACTTGAGCTTAGTTATTTAACCTCTCTGTGTCTTGATGTCCATATCTGTAAAATTGGAGTATTCAAAGGATATACTTCGCGGAGTTGTAAAATAAGAGAGCGTAGCCATGTGAATAATGGCAGCCTGGATTCCAAACTGGATTGCAAACCAGCTGCCTGCTTTTGCATCCCAGCTCTGTAAATTGGGGAATCATAATAGAGCTAACTTCATGGAGCTATTTTAAGTATTAAATAAATTAATCAATCTTTATAAAGCTCTTAGAACAGAGCCTGGCACATCCAGTAAAGGCTGTTTAAATGTTTGCAGCATGTAAATACTCAGACTAGCACTTGGCATATATGAAAAGCTAAATAAATATTAAGTCTCATTCAACTAATCTCTTCCAAAAGGAAATTACAATTTTAATTATTCTAATATGGTTGATTTCTATTGGGGTTTTTGCATTATCCCCCAGTTCCATAGACTTTTAGAGTCCAGGGGTACAAATATGCCCGAATAATCTGTGCTGGTTGTTCTGTGTGAAGGATAGAAGAGGAGGGAGGAGGTGTGCACCCTGGGAGGAATATTCCCGTAGGCACAGGTGCACCTGGGAAGTAACCTGGTGCCCTGGGGTCCCCTAGGAGTCTCCTGGGAGCCCTGGTGGAAGCCATTTAGGAGCTAGGTTAACCCATTAGGGGGACTCCTATAGGCTTAACAGGGATGTCTAACAGAGATGAGGAGAAAATCCCAGATTTAAATTTGGGGCTAGATCACTGGAGATGCATTCAGAGACTAGAACCTTCTTTGATTCATGAAGGAAACTGGATGATCTATTGAGGCTGCTTGGGAGAATTAGAAGATGGTAGCCTAATCTTGTCTTTCACACTGTTTCTTCCTGCCTCAGGGCCTTTGCACATGTTCTTTTTACTACCTAAAATGTTCTCCTTTACCTCTTTTGCTCCTGTTCTTTAATTTTCACGTGAATAATTTCAACTCCTTTGTTAGCCAAGTCAGAACTATGCCATGTCTAGAGTCACAATACCTGAATTCACATGTCCCTTTACTTCTTTGGAGCTGTGTGACCTTGCGCAGCCACTAACCCATTCCATGGCTTGCTTTCCTTGTAGTTATTGTGAAGTATGGTTGTTGGTATCTCAGCTTAAATGTCCTTTCTTCTATTTAAGGGAAGAGACCTCTATTTTTGTAAAAAAGAAGAGGCCTATTTCTGGGCCCATCATTTTTACCTTCAGGACTGTGCCTTGGTTAGGTTCACTTTGATTTGGACAGGGCTTGGGTGGTGTCATAATGACATGTAACCAGCTTTGGAATTGCACGTCCCTAGTGGCCTAACAGTTTTCATAGTGATTACCTCATTGTGTCCCAAAGTCTGTTCCACTAATGTGGGTTCATAGATATTAGATAGGGAAGGGTTCTCTGATGAAACAAGATTGGGAAGGGGTGGGTTAAAGAAAGTCAGGCCCACTTCTTTTCTGCAAGACTTCTTAGAGACTTTACTGTGCTAAGTCTATGTCCTAGGGAAAGGGGTGGAATGGCAGTTGTTGCCCCATGGTGTTCATCATGGGACCTGTTTTTTGTGAAATATAATGTGGTACTGAGTCCTTAGAACACACCCTGAGAAACGCTACTTTGTTTTCTGAGGCCCTCCCACCACCAAATGCTAGTGCTTCTCAAGATATAAACAAACATAAGGCTTGTGATGTGGCACCAGCATGCCGAGGACTTTGTATGTCTGCAGCATGGTCTAACTTATCCTTGTGCTTTTTTTTCCCTTTTCCCCCAAACAGAGAAAGAGACCTTTCTGGATCCTTTTGTGCTGCGGGACCTCCTGCCTGCATCCCTGGGCAGCTATTACCGGTACACAGGCTCTTTAACCACCCCACCGTGTAGTGAGATTGTGGAGTGGATCATCTTCCGCAGACCTGTCCCCATCTCTTACCATCAGGTAGATGTTCTTCCTCCAGTGAGACTTCTGTGTTTAGTTGTTTTGTGTTAACTATCCAATGTTGCTAAAATACACCAGTTAAGGATTTTTTTTTTGACGCTCTACTTTTCATCAACTCCTTTAGTCTTTCAAACAAACACATTTTTGAACCCAAGAATTGTAAAATCTAAAACATGGTTTCTCAGTTGCAAAGTAACTAATTAGCTGAGGCAAACTGCACACATAAAATTAGATATTGGCCATGCAGTGATTCATGCCTGTAATCTTAGCACTTTGGGAAGCCCAGGCAAGAAGATCAGTTGAGCTTAGAAGTTTAAGACCAGCCTGGGCAATGTAGTAAGAGCCTATCTCTATAAAAAATAAACAAGTGAGTCAGATGTGGTGGTACATGCCTGTAGCCACTTGGGAAGCTGAGGTGAGCTGAGAGTATCGCTCGAGCCCTGAAGTTCAAAGCTGCAGTGAGCTATGTTTGTGCTACTGCACTCCAGCCAGGGTAACAATATGGGACCCTATCTGAAATTTAAAACAATTAGATGTTTAAGTAGTTCGGTCTTGTGTAGATAATAGTAACTATCCTCTGTGATGACGGTGTTTTGTGCTAGAGACTCTTCTAAGCTCTTCATATGTGTTAACCATTTAATTGTCACGAACAGCAGTCTTAGGAGGTAGGCACACATTTTATAGATAAGACTTGCCCAAGACCATATAGCTGATAAGCAAGCCATAGTGTCTGATCCCAAAGGTCATACTCTAATCATTAAGCTTAGAGATCTGTGTACATGAAGAAATGAAACAAAGTATTCCATTGAGTGGATTCTAAAGTATTCCATTGAGTGGATTCTGTGTGCCAAGCACCTCACTGAGCACGTTACAAATATCAACTTACTCAGTGGCAGAACAGCATTGAGAGACAGCTGTTACATAGGACATCGAGAGATTGGGTACCATTCCCAAAGATTCATGGTGATAAATGATGAAGCCAGAAACCAAGCCTGGCTTTGTCTGATTCCAGAACCCACGCTGCAGAGCACTGTCCTTTACTGCTTTCTTCTAAGTGTGGCCCAAGCAAACATTATAAGACGGCAGGATTTTGGCTGAACACTTAACCCTGGGCGGGAATTGGTAAAATGGAGATGGAGTGAGGGAAGGGGCACCATCAAGGAAGTGAGGGCATTTAAACACCTCGTAAGGATTTAATGGATGGAAGGGGAGAGTTCTTAGAAGGGATATATTCATTTGTCTAAAATTCAGCATGGACTGAGGTAGACAGGCCCAGGTACAATGGGTAGAATTTATAAGAAGGTAGATTTGAGGCTCAGTGCCTGTGGCTTAAGCGGCTAAGGCGCCAGCCACATACACCTAAGGTGGCGGGTTCGAATCCCCAGCCCGGGCCCGCTAAACAACGATGATGGCTGCAACCAAAAAATGGCCAGGCATTGTGGCGGGCGCCTGTGGTCCCAGCTACTTGGGAGGCTGAGGCAGGAGACTCGCTTGAGCCCACGAGTTGGAGGTTGCTGTGAGCATGATGCCATGGCACTCTACCCCGGGGGATAGCTTGAGGCTCTGTCTCAAAAAAAAAAAAAAAAAGAAGGTAGATTTGAACCATCTCAAAGCAGGACTATCTAAAAATGGAAGTTCCCTAACAGGCAATTTCACAAGAATAAACACTTTGCAACCCTGAAATAATTGCTCTAGCGCCAGTTACAAGGGCTGGTTACCAGCCAACAGAACCCTGGGTCTTAATGACAAGTGTTCAAGTATTTGGGTCTGAATAGCTACTGGCCACATACCAGATTGGCTGCCCTTAGGTCATGAGACATCAGAGGTGCCAGGAAGCCTCCTGAGACATCCACTATTGCCTTTCTGGGGATAAATGGAACAGGTTGTCTAGGAGGAGGAGGGCAGAGGAGACACTTTATTCCTGCCAACAAAGGTTGGTAGTGTGGGTCAGGCTAAATGACTTATATGGCCTCACCACTATTGACGGTCATTTTACTTTGAAATTTTTTTTTCTTCTAATTCCACTCTGGAGAAAAAGGAAGGTGTTTAGTGATTTGGTTTCTGAACAGGAACTGCCAGCCTTGAGAAAATAATGAAATAAAAAATGAGTTTCTTCCTACTAGTGAAGCCAACATTGTTTTATTTAAAAAAATAAATAAAATTATAGTCTAAATGTTTATATCTACAGAGTTGGAGAGAGGGTTTTATTGAAAGGATCCTTTTAACAATTAAAATAAATGTTTTTGTCTTCAAAGATTTTGTTTAAGTTAATAAAGTTAGAAAGTTTGGCCACCTTTTTGTAAGATGCTACATGAAGGGAGAAGTAAAGGATAGTTGTTGATTAACTGGAAAGAAATAAGAACCATTAACATTTACTGAGTTTCACTGCAGCTCTAGATACACAGTGGCTCCAAACAAAAGACAGAAATTTGGACTTGGATATCTCATCAATTAGAAGCATTTAGAGGCCCATTTTGGTAGCTAGGGCTCTGAAAAAGTGCTTTGTTAAATATCTATTTAGCCTCCCACTCTCTGCCACTCACATATTCACGGGGAAGAAATAATGGAAGACTTTTCTTTGCCTTCCAATATATGACTTCTCTGTAGGTATTGTGTTTCAGGAAAATGGAAAAGAAATAAACTGATCATATTTGCTTTCCAGTTTCTTTGCTATAAACCATCTTCAGATAATACTTTGCTTTTTTCAGATTCTTGTTCATACATCCCTGTCTCTCTCCCAAGGGAGGAAAACAGCTCATATTCATACGGCCAAACTGGATCCTTGCTGGCTAGTTTTGCGGAGGTCACAGCTGTGTCACCCTTGGAAAGGAAAGCATTAGCCATCCAAGTATTATCACTCAGACCTTCCCACCCTGACCCTGCCAACATTCTTTCTGAAGTTAGCACAGAATGTTCATTTCAGAAAGGCAAACGGCCAATTCGGGAAAGCTAAGTAGTCAGGAATTCCATGTCTGCTTTTAACAGAAAGAAAATATTCCCAGCCCTTCATCCCTCCTCTAAAGTCTCCGTCTCCTCTCTTCTCTTCTCCCTCATGTAGTGTGGGTGCCTGCACGCAGTGGGGATGAGAGCATGTCCGCCATAAACAACAGTGGTGTGCACGAACTCTTGGCTTCTATGATGTGGGTTTCTTTGAAGCCTTCCAGAGTACATATGAGCAACCACTTATTTTTCCTCTTTTGTTCTCTTTTGTGAGTCTACTTGGATGTTCAGACCCGCCCTGTAGCCAGCAAAATCTGGCATGTGTGGCAATACTCTAGATCAGTGGTTCTCAACCTTCCTCATGTCGCAACCCTTTAATATAGTTCCTCATGTTGTTGTGACCCCCCTGAAATAACTTAGGGGACTTGGAAAAATAGACTCAGACCCCCACTTAGGTTAATTAATTGGTAATTTATTTTACCTGCTGCAGGGGCTGCTGCTCTGAGAGACAGTCAGTCCCCGGTGAGAGTGTGAGTTACCTTTTATAGGCTTTGTGTAAGCATATTACAGAAGTGAAACGTGGCTGGTTAAGGGGGGGTTGCAACTCAGGTAGTCATAGATACAGCCATGGAACAATAATTAATAAAGTTTCAGTTGACAATGGACACATTTCATATTACAGTGGTTATGGTTATACAACAGTAATTAATCAAGTCTCAGTGAGTTTTTCACCATTGTTCATCTACTGAGAACTTGGGGGTTTTGTGAAACTTGGGACTTTTTTTTTTTGTACCTGAAGCTTGTTCTTGGCAACCCTAGGAAGAAAAAGGGGGCCTGGGAACGTGTTCTCAGCCACCCTAGGGGGAGGAGGGACTTGCCTTGTTCCTGGAGTCGACTCTGGGGGGAGAAAGGAGGAGGAGGGAAATGGGCTGGAGAGGGCGGGGGGGAACAGGTGAGGGCTGGGTTACAATACCCCCAACCATAAAATTATTTTCATTGCTAATTCATAACTGTAATTTTGCTACCGTTATGAATCATAATGTAAACATCTGATATGCAGGATGTATTTTCATTGTTACAAAGGAGTTGCGAACCACAGGTTGAGAACCACTGCCCTAGACCAAAATACAATGTTGTTAATGGAATTGCACATTGGCTTAGTTGACCAGTAGTCAGCATGTTTTATGTGGGCCCATTAAACATCTACTATAAATATCAGGCAAAAATTATGCCATGACCTTGTCACCCAAACAAAGCCGTGGCATTCTCAGCCCTGGTATGGCAGATCAGAGCAGCAGGACGGCACATGGAGATAGTTGCCTGCAGCGTGTTCATGATCAGAGAAGACAATCGTCTTTCAGTCCAGTGTACTAGGATTTGTTACATTCTAGAACAGTGGTTCTCAGATGATGGTTCTTTGCCCATTGACAACTAACCCAACCCTTTCCAGGACTGTTTGCTTCTTGTAGGTTAAAGTACGGCACTGCCTATAATTTGGCCCAGCATGAATTTTACTGAAGTGCTTTTTGGGAGTGCCATCAACAAGGTAGTAAAAAATGAGTCTGAATACATATAGTTGGATTGCCTTTGAGTATGCAATTTCTTTTTTCTAATAGGAAGCTGGAATGAATGGGAAACATTTATTTGTATGATGCTTTTTAACCAAAGGTTGGAAGGAATAGAGTAGCTCTTTGAAATTAAGAACGTGTGCTATGAAACCAATTTATAGCTTTCATATGAAAGCTATAACACAACTATAGCCTGAGAAGAAGGAGAAAGAAGAGAGGGAGGGGAAGGGGGAGGATGGGTGGAGGAAGGGTAATTGGTGGGAACACAACTACAGTGCATTTTACAAGGGTACATGTGAAATTTACTAGATGTAGAATATAAATGTCTTAACACAATAACTAAGAAAATGCAGTGAAGGCTATGTTAACCAGGTTGATGAAAATATTTCAAATGGTATATAAAACCAGCACATTGTACCCCATAATTGCATTAATGTACACAGCCATGATTTAATGAAGAAAAAAAAAGAATGTGTGCTTTGGAGGCAGGCT